TGGCTTGAACCAGCTCCCGACTCCTCCTCACCGGCTGTGACTGACAGCAGCTGGGGTCGCAATGATAAGGGAGACAGCACCTTGGCTCTCCTGCACTTCGCTGGATCAAGATCAGGCTCAGGAAAGTGTAAAGGGGAAGCTGAGCTGCATTAAGAAAGCTTTTTACCTTAACGCATTGAATGTATTAGGGTAAAAAAAAAAAAACAACATCTGCCTTTAGAACCACTTTAATATATCAATGTTTAATATTATAATTTAAGTGCATAAAATCCTATCCTATCATAAAATATATGTGAATATTTACAGGATGGTTTCATGACATTTAGGGGCCCATGTATAAAGCTGTGGCATGCACAAAGTATGGCCTTATGACTGTTTATTTTTATAAAGCAACTCCAGCACATATAGTCAGGTCCATAAATATTGGGACATCGACACAATTCTAACATTTTTGGCTCTATACACCACCACAATGGATTTGAAATGAAACGAACAAGATGTGCTTTAACTGCAGACTGTCAGCTTTAATTTGAGGGTATTTACATCCAAATCAGGTGAACGGTGTAGGAATTACAACAGTTTGCATATGTGCCTCCCACTTGTTAAGGGAGCAAAAGTAATGGGACAGAATAATAATCATAAATCAAACTTTCACTTTTTAATACTTGGTTGCAAATCCTTTGCAGTCAATTACAGCCTGAAGTCTGGAACGCATAGACATCACCAGACGCTGGGTTTCATCCCTGGTGATGCTCTGCCAGGCCTCTACTGCAACTGTCTTCAGTTCCTGCTTGTTCTTGGGGCATTTTCCCTTCAGTTTTGTCTTCCGCAAGTGAAATGCATGCTCAATCGGATTCAGGTCAGGAGATTGACTTGGCCATTGCATAACATTCCACTTCTTTCCTTAAAAAACTCTTTGGTTGCTTCTGCAGTCTGCTTTGGGTCATTGTCCATCTGCACTGTGAAGCGGCGTCCAATGAGTTCTGAAGCATTTGGCTGAACACGAGCAGATAAAATTGCCCGAAACACTTCAGAATTCATCCTGCTGCTTTTGTCAGCAGTCACATCATCAATAAATACAAGAGAACCAGTTCCATTGGCAGCCATACATGCCCACGCCATGACACTACCACCACCATGCTTCACTGATGAGGTGGTATGCTTAGGATCATGAGCAGTTCCTTTCCTTCTCCATACACTTCTCTTCCCATCACTCTGGTACAAGTTGATCTTGGTCTCATCTGTCCATAGGATGTTGTTCCAGAACTGTGAAGGCTTTTTTAGATGTCGTTTGGCAAACGCTAATCTGGCCTTCCTGTTTTTGAGGCTCACCAATGGTTTACATCTTGTGGTGAACCCTCTGTATTCACTCTGGTGAAGTCTTCTCTTGATTGTTGACTTTGACACACACACACCTACCTCCTGGAGAGTGTTCTTGATCTGGCCAACTGTTGTGAAGGGTGTTTTCTTCACCAGGGAAAGAATTCTTCGGTCGTCCACCACAGTTGTTTTTTGTGGTCTTCCAGGTCTTTTGGTGTTGCTGAGCTCACCGCTGTGTTCCTTCTTTTTAAGAATGTTCCAAACAGTTGTTTTGGCCACGCCAAATGTTTTTGCTATCTCTCTGATGGGTTTATTTTGTTTTTTCAGCCTAATGATGGCTTGCTTCACTGATAGTGACAGCTCTTTGGATCTCATCTTGAGAGTTGACAGCAACAGATTCCAAATGCAAATAGCACACTTGAAATGAACTCTGGACCTTTTATCTGCTCATTGTAATTGGGATAATGAGGGAATAACACACACCTGGCCATGGAACAGCTGAGAAGCCAACTGTCCCATTACTTTTGGTCGCTTAACAAGTGGGAGGCACATATGCAAACTGTTGTAATTCCTACACCGTTCACCTGATTTGGATGTAGATACCCTCAAATTAAAGCTGACAGTCTGCAGTTAAAGCACATCTTGTTCGTTTCATTTCAAATACATTGTGGTGGTGTATAGAGCCAAACATGTTAGAATTGTGTCGATGTCCCAATATTTATGGACCTGACTGTATAACACAATGCTGCATGCTTATAAATATATGTTTTGTTTGTTGAAGCAAGCAAAATCCTGTTCTTTCTAATGAATAGGAAAAATGTGTGCCAGAAAGAAGAGGACACATGTCACATGACCTTGGCCTTGCTTTCAAACAGTTCATGTGACAGTGCTCTCTGCAGCATTATGTGGAGAACAAATTGCAGGACATCTGGGCTCCACACTGGATTCCATATTTATTTATTTCAGGTACTCATATAGCGCCGTCAATTTATGCAGCGCTTTACATATATATTGTACATTCACATCAGTCCTTAACCCTCAAGGAGCGTACAATCTAAAGTCCCTAACTCACATTCATACATACACATATTAGGGCCAATTTAGACAGGAGCCAATTAACCTACCAGCATGTCTTTGGAGCATGGAAGAAAACTGGAGCACCCAGAAGAAACCCACGCAGGCACAGGGAGAACATGCAAACTCCAGACAGGTGGTGCCATGGTTGGGATAAGAACAAACGACCCTCATACTGCCAGGCAGAAGTGCTAACCATTTAGCCACTGTGCTGCTCCACATTTTAAAATAAAACACAACATTCCAGCACAGTGTATTTCCAATGAAGTCCTGCAATGTGCAGACAGCGAACACCACTCTCCTTTATAAATGGGCCCCTTACATCACAAACAAAAGTGAGCTTCACAATAAGAAAGCCTGTGCTGCCTATTTACTGTTTGATTGCCAACAGCAAAAAATCGATATAGGTCTGTATAAGATAGCAGCAGAGGGAATGTCCTCCGATCTTTCAGTTGTGAACAAATCAGAATTGCACATCTCAAATTCCAAAGGTTATATACATCACTTAGCAAAAAATTACTGTACAGAAATGGTGATGGAAAGATGCCACCTACTATATTTCATATTTCCCCAACTAAGAAGAAACAAAAAATATTTTAGTCCTGAACATAAAGAAACTATCCACCCTTAAGAAAATATACTAGCAGAGTTTAAATATATTCACATAATGGTCTTTTTCTTTTAAATTGACCTTGAGTTCCACTTCCCTACAATTTTCCAATCGCTGACATGTTTAACAGCCAAAATAATTAGCACAGTCATTGTAATTGAGATCAGGTTCCAAACCCCTGTATGCACAACAGCACTCTACTCTAGCGCAATGCACATGCAGACAGCCAACAAGTTGATAAGAGGAGAGAGAGTACACTTTACCAGTGTGCTGCTGCTCCTTCAATGCCTTGTCAACAACCTGGGAGGGGGAGGCTTGGATAGGGTGTCTACCACTCAACTAGAACAGAGCAGTAAAGTTCATGTTTCTGGCTTTGTTGTGTGTCAGGAGTACCTGTACATCTGGTAGTCCGTTGCTACTTTATTGTCCACTTACAGGATGCGGGGAGATAATCAAGCTCTATTGCTTAACTGCAGCTGAGAAAAGTCAGGTCAGTAGGCTGACTGCTTGTCCACAAGGACCCTGTAAATCTCAGGACTGGACAGACAAAAATACAAATCATTTGGAATGAGTTCCTAAATATGTGTATTTTATCTGTGTATTTATCAGCCTTCCTGGGGTTCAGTTTTAATCCACTCCCAGTCCACAGTTAAGTGCAAGACACCAATGCCATAAGTGACAAGCATGATTTACCTGGTTTATCTGCAAATAACTGCACTGTAACTCTGAGACCTTCTTGCAGCTGCTTGTCTATCTGCACCTCCTATCAAGACAAAAAGGAACAATTAGAACTTAACTGACAATACTTTTTGAAGTCACCATAGAATGCACAAAATTAGCCAGTAGTGCAGCCAATCTTGAGTATATTTGTGACAACTGGGTCATTTCAGACCCTCTAGAGGGGAAAAACAAGCTCCATGGTGACAATATTGCCTCAGGGGATTTTCCTGGAAGTGGTCCTTTTTTCACTACCAATATAACTTCAGATAATCACAGTTATTCCGCAGTGATGAAGGTTGGCAGTATACTTATCTTAGTGCATAAATATGATGCTGTGAATAATGCCAAAATCATGCTACGGAACTAGTGTGCAGCAGCCATATTGCGGTCTCTTGTCTACATATTCACCCAACACAGACCTCTGATATGCGAGCTGTCTGTAGAAGTTGCCATTAATAGAGGGCGCAAAGGAAAAACATTAATCATTATTTATCAAAGTATGAAGATCAGACCCGTACATTTCAAATAAGGTAATTATGCTGCAGGGGGGGTTAGTTTAGTATTGGGGGTCATTTTAGGGGTTAAGATAATTGTTAGAGCCAAAACACATCTTTGTGATGTGGTACTGTGCACATTAGTGGCTTTAGAATGTTGCACAACTATTCTTTTTGAATGGAACCCCAATGCATGATGGCAATGCACATCAAGGCACACAGTGATGCATTACTGCGTGTTGTATTACATCATAAAAAATGCTGCATATAAATTTTTGTGCTGTCCCAGCCTATTCAAAATGAATGGGCTATCTTAAAGCAAAGCATGGTGATGGCCGCAAGTTACTTTTCAGGTTAAGTGTAAGTACCGAGTGGGAGGTTAAATGCGTGTGTGCGTTTGTTTGGGGGGGGGGGGGGTATCTTACATTTGTGACCTTAACTGTCTGGCCATTATGATCTGCCTTCAGTGTTTCTGAATCACTGTCAGGCATTCAGCATCTTCAAACCAGATCAGAAATGGCAGCCTCCATGTTTCTCTTGTTCTCTTTGTTAGGCACCTGTTTGATTCTAAAATGCACCCTGATGTGCAGTTTCATGAATCTTCCTGCTTCCAATAAAGTGTGGATTAAACATGCATGTGTTAAAATATGTGCATTTTTAAAAACACAAAACGTATCAATGAGGCTTTAGAAAACCAAAAAGCCATGCACACGCCTTGGAAGCTAATGGAGCATTAAAAACACAACCTAATTGGTAGATCTGGATCAGCTAAGCCCTGGCAATTAATGTACCAATAAACTGGGTACCTTTCTCATGCCACAGTTAACAAATGAGCCTTTGCCTGGTTTAGTTGGTCGGTCTAAAACAACTCCCTCTCTGTAATCCGACTCTTCATCTATTCTCATATGGTGAGGGCTGTCCAGGGGGTTCAAGAGACCTGAAACAGTCCAGCAAAAATCAGAAATTAGACAGGTGTCACTCAAACTCAGTCATCTTATCACTCAAGTCATTGCGCAGTTACCTGCAAACTGCAAGTCTGGATGTTTGGGAAAGAAAGATTTTCTTAGATATCTGGAAATGTGTAAAACAGGACAAATTACTGCAAATAAATTTTAATGTCTAATTAATATATCTTCCCTATAAACTGCAATACGATCACAATATAATAGAGGGTATTTCGGGTTGTAGTAGCCATAACAGTGTGATGTGAAAGAATAGACATATTTTTCCTTTTTAATTCAATTATAAAGCCCCTGAGGTGGGGCGTTTGATTTCCCACAGGAAATGGCCAACCTATGGCTCCTCTACTGGTTAGCAATGACAAATATGCATGTTTGTGCTAAGCACAAAAGAAGCCACAATCAAGTAACTCTAGTGCCAGCCTACAACTACCCCCTCCCCTCCATTGAGGCTGTACCATAAAGTGTAAAAATGTGCCCATTACAGTGCCCCAGGATTTGTATATACATGTCCCCTTGGCTGCTTGCACTTTATTCCCACAGACAGTTTAGGTGACAGGTGCACTTTAAAAAAGAAATACTCACTGAGGACACTCTAGATACTGGAGTATTCTTGCTAGCTGCACACAGGCCTGTCCTTTCTTCCCCACACCCTCAAAGTTCCCCTCCACGCTCCTATGAAATAAAAAGAAACATTGGGCAAGGAAGCAGCACAGGCACACAGGATACACACCAGTATGGAAAATATACAGCACATACTTTGACCCTTCTCCAGTCTCATCGAATATCACAATCTCATCCACACAGAAGATGGTACAGGCACGCGCTATCTGTCCAGCCAGGTATGTCCGTAGCTCTGGTGACTGGGCATTGTCCATAATGGATCCTGGTAAGGCCACACTGAGTGTGTATTGACGACCTGTGGAAAAAGCAAGTTCAGGACTGCCAATCACAGGCAAAGATGCAAGTGTAAATAACAACATATGCTAATTAATCTTAACAGCAAGGATGAAAGACGGATGTCCACTGAGTTCCAAACACTGCAAAAAAAATAAAATATATCTCTGAACTGGATGGAGTAGGGAAAGAACCACTGCTAGGTATTTATTGCTGGCTGTGCCTCAGCTGGAAAGATTCCTTCTATCTGTCCTGTGACATTTGTTACGGACACAGAAAGCGATGGGAAATGCAAAATTTCACAGCTGTTTCTAAAACAAGATGTAACAATAAATCTTTCAATTGGGGCACCCACTTTGGTGTCAACTGTCTTAGAGGGGAATTCATCTCATTTTGTACAGATTTACTTTCACTCCCTGTTGTGTTTATGGGGCAGGAAGGGAAGAGAAATCTCCCCAACTGAACACAGACAACAAAAACATAAGCTGACATGAATTTTGACCTGTCCCCACTCTATCCAAACCTATATAAAAAAAAAAACCCAGTTAGACTTACCAGTAACTCCTTTTTAATAAGTCTTACAGGACAGACCCCTTGAGACATAGAGCTCCTCCCTCCGGGACAGGAAACACGCAAGCATAGCACTTTAAAAGGCGGACCTGGTCCTGCTGGAACTACCTAATTGTGCCCCTATTGCGACATCGACGCTTCTATGGCTTCCCCCTGTCATTTGCCCTATTTTGCTCCCAATTATTAACAACCCTCTCTTTACACCAGGTTTAGATCAACCAAGGGCGTTTTCTTGGTGGGTGGCCTATGGTTTGTCGCAGGTGCGACACTTTTTGACTTGTCGGTCCTTCCCCACTTTGAATTCTCTTCGGGAGTCATGGAATGTTCCTCCAGCTGAATTTTTTCATTACCTTCAATTGCGGCATTGGCTGACCTCACTGCGGGGCACTTCCGCTTTCCCGTACCAGAAATCTGTCTTTGAACTGCTTTGCCAACAGCGTCTGGGCGCCCTGGGCCTTATTTCCCTTCTTTATGCAGCTTTGAACAGATGCTCGACACATACTTCTCTATCATATGTCGCTCAGTGGGAGCGCGACCTGGGGGCAGTCGTGGATCTGGAGGACTGGAATAGGGCCTGGTCGCTTATAGCTAAATGTTCATTTAATATGACCACGCTGGAGGCGGCATACAAAGTATTGTTTTGTTGATATTGGGTTCCGGCTCGTTTGGCCCAGGCAAACCCTGCCTGCAGTGATCGATGCTTTTGGGGTTGTGGCCACCGTGGCGATGTATTGCATATCTGGTGGTCATGCCCAAGACTATTTCGTTTTTGGTCTTGTGTGTTTGGCCTCCTTTTCATCTTGTTCCATCTCTCCATACACCGAGATGCTTGGTACGCTTTGCTTCATTGTACCATACCGGGCCTCTTGGCTCACCAGCAGAAGTTGGGTTCCTGTTTGTTTTTGTCGGCCACTAGAACAATTGCTCAGGCCTGGAAGACCCCGTTTGTCCCTCTTCAGGGGTGCGGGACCGTATGACCACTATGATGCTCAATGAACAGATATCGAGTATCTGTAACGACTCCCAACGGAAGCAGTGGTTGCAATATGCCTTTCCCAAGCTCCCCCCGGCTAGTCTGGGGTTGTGATGTTGCTCGGTATTGGTGTTCTCGGACCCCTTCTGTTGGTCTTGTTATCTTTTTCCTTTTGTACGCCTCTTTCCTTTTCTTTTTCTGTTTGTTTTTGGTGTGGGGCAGTGGATAGCTGCCTTTAGTTACTGTCGGTGTTATACTAATGTTTTTGTCATTTATGTGCCATTGATAGCCCCTGCGTGGGCACACTTTTTGCTCTGTTGGTGTTAGAGCACTGTTTTTTTTTTATGTGCAATTGATAGCCCCTGCGTGGACGTGTTTTGTTGCTCCTGTCTTAAACTGTTTATAAATTAATAAAAACATTGAAATACAAAAGGCGGACCTCAAGGCCTCCCTCTTCAGACACTAAAAGACATTATCATTTATGAATAAATATATATTACCGTACAACCTTAGGGTGGGAAATCCCGGCTGTCCTGGAAGACTTATAGAAAAGGAGTTACCAGTAAGTCTAACTCTGGTTTCCTCAAAACGTCTTCTTCCAGGACAGCCCCCTTGAGACAATAATTAAGAACCTACCCACTAGGGCGGGGTTACTGCCTGGAGGACTTTGCGCCCAAATGCCTGATCTTCGCTAGAGAGCAGATCCAGGTGATAATGCTTCACAAAAGGTAGAAAAGCTGGACCAGGTGGCCTCCTGTTCTGGCGAAGCACTGGCTCTCTCTGCCCAGGATGCTGACCAGGATCTGGTTGAGTGTACATTAACAAACGGGGGGAGGAATTTCTAATAAATTATACGATTCGGCGATAGCCATCCTAATCCATCTAGCTATGGTGGATTTGGAAGCCTTGGAACCCTTCCGCTCCCCTGCAAAAAGAACAAAAAGAGAATCCGAATTTCTGAATTCTCCGGATCTACTAAGACCAAAAGGCTCCTTCTAACATCCAATAAACTTAATCTTTCCTCCTCGCTTGGGGAGCAGAACAGAAGGTCGGCAACAATTATATCCTGAGACCTATGAAAGGAGGAGGAAACCTTGGAAAGAAACCCAGGATCTGTTTTGAGCACAATTCTATCCTCAAAAACTGTCAAAAAGGGCTCCCTAATGGAAAGCGCCTGCACTTCACTCACCCTACGGGCCGATGTGATTGCTACCAACAAAACAGTTTTTAGAGTTAAAAACTTTATTGAAGATTTCTCCAGAGGTTCAAAGGGACAAAGCTTTTAGAACCAAAGACAGATCCCAAACTGGACAGGATCTGACCGCTGTCGGCCTGGACTTGGGAAGAGCCCTGTAAAAATCTGTTATAAAGGGATCTTGCTGGAGAGGGACCTGAAGGAAAACACTAAGGGCAGAGGCCTGCACTTTTAAAGTGTTAACTGAAAGACCCTGATCTGCCTCATCCTCAAAGAAATCGAACACTGCTAGGATATCTGGAGGGGTCTGACCCTTACCCAACAGCCAGGATTTGAATTTTTTCCAAACCTTAGTATAAATAGCCCTGGTAACTGGTTTATGGCAGTTCACCAAAGATCTTATTACTATGTCAGAAAACCCCTGAGTTGTTCTTCAGTAGCCACGCTGCCAACCTCAAGGTTCTTACCTGAGGGAGTAGCACCGGACCCTGAGAAACCAGATCTTCCCTCTCTGAAAGGGGGAACGGGGGAACCGAGGCCAGGCTCCAAAGCACAGAAAACCATGGCCTCTTTGGCGCAAATGGGGCCACCAGAATGAGGTTTGTCTTTTCTAACAGAAACTTCTGCAGGACTGATGGGATAAGCCTCACTGGAGGAAACGCATAACAGAGATTGAGTTCTCACGTGCTGGCGAATGCATCTACACCCAAAGCCTGATCTCGCGGATTTAAGGAGAAAAACCGTTTGACTTTCCTGTTTTCAGGGGAAGCAAAGAGATCGTCCTGAGAGTGATGGTCGCAAACACTTCCTGGTTGAGAGACCATTTTTTATCGTGTTTGACTGGATGGCGACTTGGGAAGTCCGTTAGGGAATTCTGCGCTCCTTTCAGATGGATGGCAGATATTGAAAGCAAGTTTTGCTTGGCCCAAGATAGAATGCTGTCCGCGATTGCTTGAAGAGGAGGGCTTCGTGTACCCCCCTGCTTGTTGATGTATACCACCGTAGCCATATTGTCTGAACAGATCTGCAGGTGACAAACTATTAGATCTGCCTGAAAGGCATCCAACGCTAGCTGGACTACCAGAAGCGCTCTCTGATTTGAGGATCTCTGAGATTCCTCCACAGACCATGACCCCTGGGCCACTCTGTCGCCTACATGGGCTCCCCAACCAAAGCTGCTGGCATCAGTCATAATGATAACCGGACAAGGTGTGTTCCACTCCAGACCTTTGGCTAGAATGTGTTGCTTCCACCACCACCAAAGGGATCTCTTGACCCTGGAAGGGAGCCAGACTGCCAGATCCAAAGCAGATCTGTCCCCATTCCAAACCCTCAGAAGAAAGGCCTGCAGTGCCTACTGGTGGAATCTATCCTGAGAAACTTTTCTTGTGGAAGAAAGATCTCTCTACCGAGGAAATCTCGTACCCCAGATAGTTAACTCTCCGGGAGGGAGTTCAGCATGACTTGTCCCTGCTTATGAGCCACCCCAGACTCTGAAGAAAGTCCTGTGCAACCCACAGATCCCCTGTCAACTGTTGGTGAGACCTGGCCACGAAGAGGAGATCGTCCAGATAGGGAACGATCGTAATAGACCTCATTCTCAGGGGAGCGAAGGCCTCTGCGATCTCCTTTGTAAAAATTCTTGGTGCTTAGGCCAGACCGAAAGGTAGAGCCCGACACTGCCAGTGGTGGATCTCTGAACCCATCCTTACCGCTATTCTTAGGTATTTCTGACAAGCATGTTGAATGGGAAAGTGAAGATAAGCATCCCTCTAATCCAGCGTAGCTATGAAACAATCCAGGTAAAGGATGTTCCTTACAGAGAAGATTGATTCCATCCTGAAGTGTTTGTACCCTAGAGACTGATTGAGAGGGCAAGGGTTTAGGATAAGGCGAAACTTGCCCGAGGGCTTTTTCACTACAAAAACATGGGACTAATACCCCCTCCCCTGCTCGTTCCGGGGAATTCGAGTAAGGACCTGCTGATCTACCAGGTCTCCAATTAGGCCACACAGAGCCTGTACATTTTTCTGATCCTTGGGGAGATTGATTACCAAATACCTGACGGGGGGACTGGAGTCGAACTCCAACCTGTACCCCTTTCCTATCAGGTCCAGAATGTAGGGATTCAAGGAGATTGAAGCCCACTGAGGGAGAAAGGTCCCCAGTCTTCCTCCCACTGGGACGCTCAAGTCATTGAGACTTGGCGGAGCCCTGAGAAGGATTGAATAGGATCCCCGTCTTACCTTGTTTTTGTGCCCTGTCCAATGTTTCTTGGGCTGAACATCCTTAATTTGCTGGACCTGCGTCTTTTGATGAAAACCCCTCCTAAAGATCTCTTCTTACTCTCTGGAAATGCCCTCTTTTTATCAGCCGTAAGCTCCAGAGCCTCCTCGAGACCTGAACTGAAAAAGTTACCGCCAGTAAAGGGTAAGGCACAAAGACTCAGTTTGGATGCTGAATCCCCTGGCCAAGTCTTTAATCATAATGCCCTTCTAGCTGAATTCACCAGGGCAGAAGTTCTCGCGGCTAGCTTAACTGATTAGGTCGAGGCATCCTCAAGGAAACCTACTGCTTTAAACAGCAAAGGAAAGGATTTTAGAATTTGCTACCTAGAAGTCCCTGCCAAGAGATACGTCTGTAACTGGGTAAGCCAGAATTCCAAATTTCTGCCGACACAGGTGGTCAATAAAGCCGGCTTAAAGTGAATAGAGGTGGAATCCCAGGCCCTCCGGAGTAAGATGTCTCCTCTTTTATCCATAAGATCCTTTAGGGCCCCCATGTCTTCAAATGCCAAGTCCATCTTTTTAGAGACTTCAGATAAGAGGGCATCCAACTTTGGAATCTTGTTCCATGGCTTGGATCAGTCATCCTCAAAATGAAATCTTTTAAGGTTACCAGATAAAAAGGGCTTCCTTTCAGGGTTTTCCCATTCCAGCTTAATGGTATCAACCAGGGAGCTATGGACTAGAAAGACCCTATTCTTTTTAGCATGTAGACCCTAATACATAAGATCATGCTTAGGCAGACATACCTCCTCCTCCTCGATCTCTAAGGTTTCATAGAGCCTTAAGGAGGTCGTCTACATCATCAAGGGCACATTTTACCTGGAACCTCTGGAGGAGCAAGCTTCACTGTTGTCGTCCTCTGAGCCTGAACCTGCATGTGAGGAAGCAAGGGACCTAGGATCCTCTTCCGTGTCCTCCTCCCTTCTCAATGCTTCCGATACCACTGTACCAGCCGACTGGCTCCAAGGCCCCAGCGGTGTCTGCATTCTATCCAGCAGGGATCTAAAGTACTGAAATGTAGTTGTCGTATCATCCTTAATGGAGGTAAGAACTCTATGGCAGGCTGTAAATGACTCACCCTTAACTAGGCTATGCACACAATTGCAGCATAAGGGCTTTTCCCAAACTGAACCCAATTTTGCCGCACAAACTGCACACTTCTTCTTCTTAGGGGCCTGACTCGATGTCTTGTCCTGGGTTTTAACCTACAACAAGCAAGAAACAATACAGAAAATAATCAGCCCAGGGTCCTCATCCAAACACCACTGTGCTGAGGGAGAAAAACGGAAGTGTGCCCCACCGTCACCTGTGACTCAGAGACTGGGGAAAAGAAAACCACCTCCAGGAATTAACAAGAGGGAACCACAAGTCCCCAAGCCTACCTGAGAGGAGTCGGTGCCTGAGGAAACGGGGTCCGTTTGCTGAGAGAGGCCAGTGTCTTCCATCCTGTCCCTTGTGGTGTGGTAGCCACAGCCTCTGCTGGGTATCCCACCATACCGGGTGCCCAAGCCTGATGTCTGTGCCACTCTGAAGACTGCAACCACGAGTCTCCCGGCGCCCGCAGATGACATCACCGTGACCGGAACTGCCGATGCTTGGAGCGCAGCTGCTCCGCCTCCCGGAAATCGCGAATGCCCGGCAGTCTCTCTGCCTCCAACACCGCTGTGCTGCACCTTGGAGGCCGCCGCCAGGGGTGAACCAAACCCCCCCGGGGTTGCACCGCCCGCGCCGAGGAGGGAGTGGGGGGCAGTCGCAAAAGCCTGATCATCGGTGGTCCTCCTCCTCTGAGAACTGGAAGATCACCAGGAATGCAGCCCCACTCTGCAGACATGGAGGGATTGCGTCAGGCAAGAGGAGGTACTGTACCCAAAAAAAAACAGGAGCCACCAGCACCCCCCTTGAGCCTAGTGATCCAAAAACAGGTTCCTTTGAACTGTACCCGTCCTTCCAGAGGAAAACAAAAAACTGAAGACGAAGGCCTGGAAGTCCGCCTTTTTTAAAAGTGCTATGCTTACGTGTTTCCTGTCCCGGATGGAGGAGCTTTACCTCTCAAGAGGGCTGTGCTAGAAGACGGTTTGAGAAAATTAGGCTTCAGGTACACTCAAGAAAATTCGCACTTGCCAAAACATCATAAGTGGACCAGACAAAATGCTAATGCTAACAAGGCAACTTTTAAATGCTTTCATTCATTCACCTGTCCTCCATTCATAGACTGCTGTTCATTCAAGAAAGCTAAAGTACAGTTTCTATGAACACAGAAGGGGACAGAAAGGGCAGATAGACAGCACACTTGACAAGAGCCTGTGACAGGTCTTTCAATTCTGTTAACCCCCTGCAACCATAGTTTTCTGGTAATGCAGGGGGTTATTTCAGAGTTGAGGGACCTGTCACAGAAGCAAGGTAACTTTGGAATTCAACTATGACAACCAGAACCAGCACAAGGGACAGTTCTCATTAAATGTAAGTACCATCTCTAGTGCTGATTAAAAATACTTAAAACCTAAGCTTTAAATACAGTAAATAAAACAAACAAACTGAGATAGTGGGCAAATACAAATGTGGTTATTTTGAAGTGAACCTGTATTTGTCTGGACTATGTGGCAAAGTAGCAAGTTCACTGACCCAGCTCATTAAAAAGTTTTGGGGTTGGGGCAACATAGGAACCTCTACCTGGCTTTCCACAGCGCAGTGCTGGAAGAAGGAGGGCCAGTTGGCTGGTCTAAAACAAGCTGTTATGTTGCCTAGTCCACTGCAAAGAAAGCACCACAAACATAAAACATATACATGTAGTGATAAATCTGACACCTTCCAATCTTCTCTGGAGGATTTTGTTAGGCCATCATAAAACACATACCATTTTCTGTCTTTCTCTTCTCTTTTTCTTGTGCTTGTTTCTCTGCTTCTAGCTTCTGCAGTTGAGCTTTTTCTAACTGTCTCAGCAATTTCTCCTCTCTCCATTTTTTCCGCTGTTCTTTTCCTATAAGGGACATCAACAATGGAATTATTTTCAAGAGAATGACAGCCTGAAACACAAATAGTCAGAAGCAACACATTCGTGTACATTCTTACGTTTCACTCTCTCATTTCTCCAATCTATCTTCTTGTCAGATCCCTGAAAAAAAAAAAGGTGGAGGCCCATAAAATTAAACAGAAATGTTCTGGAGAAATGAACACAATTACAGGGTGCTACAGATCTATGACTTTATATCTAGTTAGTTACATATCTATGACTTTATATCTAGTTAGTTACAGATCTATGACTTTATATCTAGTTAGTTACAGATCTATGACTTTGTATATAGCTAGTTACAGATCTATGACATGTGAAGCAAAGTACAATCACTGTGCAGCACTACTACACAGAAGGCATAGAGCTGATTCACACATGTGCAGTGCGGTTTGAAGTTCAGGTTTCACAGCTAATTGATACAGTAGTTGTTCACAGGTTCAGGACAGGATTAGCTCAGGATCTTACCCTGTTCACACATATACAGTTTAGAAATGGTTCCCATAGAAGTCAATAGCCTGTAATCTGAACCTGAACCGGACCATACTGCTCAGAAATCAGACATGACTGTTTTTAAAACCGCACTGAATCCGCACCGCCAGTGCACTGAACATATATAAACAGGCACCATAGGAAGCAAAGTTATTTCACATGTCATGCGGATTGGATGTGGTTCACACCACACATACAGTTGTGTTCAAAATAATAGCAGTCAGACATCACTAACCGGATCAATCACTGTTTTTGGTAGAAATTATATTTCTACATGACAAATAATTTACTAGCAGGTGTAGTAGAGTAATAGAAATCCAACAGACCCAACATTCATGACATGCATGCTGCTGATTCTGTGTAATTGAATCACTAATTGAAAGGGGCATGTTCAAAATAATAGCAGTGTGGAGTTCTATTAGTGAGGTCATTCATTCTTTGAAAAACAGGTGGCAATTATTGCCCTTATTTAAGGAAGGAAGGCAGCAAATGTTGTGTACATGCTGGTTACAGTGCATTTCTCTCTGAAATTCTGAGGAAAATGGGTTGTTCCAGACATTGTTCAGAAGAACAGCGTACCTTGATTAAAACGTTGATTGGAGAGGGGAAACATATAAAGATGTGCAGAAAATGATAGGCTGCTCAGCTAAATGCTTTAAAATGGCAACCAAAACCTGAAAGACGTGGAAGAAAGCGAAAAACTGAATGGATAGAAGAATAGCCAAAATGGCGCGGACTCAGCCAACAATCAGCTCCAGGAAGATCAAAGAAGGTGTAAAGTTCCCTGTGAGGACTGTTACAATTAGAAGACGCCTATGTGAAGCCAAGCTATCTGCAAGAAGCCCCCGCAAAGTCCCACTGTTGAAAAAAAAGACGTGCTGAAGAGGTTACAATGTGCTAAAGAGCACATTGACTGGCCTAAAGAGAAATGGCGCAACATTTTGTGGACTGATGAAAGTAAGATTGTTCTTTTTGGGTCTAGTGGGTGGAGACAGTTTGTCAGACGACCCCCAAACACTGAATTCAAGCCACAGTACACTGTGAAGACATTGAAGCATGGTGGTGCAAGCATCATGATATGGGGATGTTTCTCATACTGCGGTGTTGGGCCTATTTATCGCATACCAGGGATCATGGATCAGTTTGAATACATCAGAATACTTGAAGAGGTCATGCTGCCTTATGCTGAAGAGGAAATGCCCTTGAAATGGGTGTTCCAACAAGACAACGACCCCAAACACACCAGTAAACGTGCAACATCTTGGTTCCAGACCAACAAGATTGACGTTATGGAGTGGCCAGCCCAATCCCCGGATCTTAATCCAATAGAAAACTTGAGGGGTGACATCAAAAATGCAGTTTCTGAGGCAAAACCAAGAAATAGAGAAGAACTGTGGAATGTAGTCCAATCATCCTGGGCTGGAATACCTGATCACAGGTGCCAGAAGTTGGGTGACTCCATGCAACACAGATGTACGGCAGTTCTCAGAAACAGTGCGACTACAACCAAATATTCATTAAGTGATTCAAAGGAAAGCAAAATCTTCAAATATTTTTCAGTTTATATAGTGAATGTTTGAGTTTGTAAAGAAGAATACAAACACTGCTATTCTTTTGAGTCTAATATTCACTTTTCTCCAATTTGTTTAGAGGAACAACACAAATTTGATCTATTTTTCTTCATGTCTTGATTTGGAATAGAATGTATAGTGTTCCCAATGCATTTGTGTGGATGGAAATAAAAGCTATTAGAAGGATTTTGAGCTTTATTCACTTTTTTCAACACACTGCTATTATTTTGAACACAACTGTATATGTGAACGGGCACTTAGTGACACCATTGGCTCTTCACTGCATCAGGTTCAATCCATTTGTTCTGGCCCTACCCCAAAACTCAAACCAAGGCCAGAGAAATATCTCAAAATTCAAAGATTTTATCTTACCAAGATATAAGGAAACAGGGTTAAAATCTACAGCATTATTTAAATTGTAGTAGGGTTCTACATGTGAAACTCCCCATAAAGCTAGAGGTAACCATGTCTTCTCTAAGTGGTAATGTTATTCATTGCACATCCAACTCTTTGTATGATCTCTTTGAACAACCATTCTGGGGACAAATATTGTTGTGCAAGATGTGAGCAAGTTGTTTGGAAGCCCAGATCCTGGATCTAAAGAATCAACTGGCAACACTGCAAAGCATTAACCAGTTGGAGAGGAGCAATAGCATTCAATGCCAAGCTGCAACTAACAAAGCATGCAAAACACTAATGGATTAACAAAAACATACATTAAAGATCAATAAATCTAGCACACTAGTTCAGCCTCATCTTGAAAATGCAGATCAGATTTGGTTACCAATCCTCAGGAAAGTCGTTGTTGAATTAGAAAGAGTTCAGTGAAGAGCAACAAAATAAATAAGGTGGATGGAGGGGCTCAGCTATGAGGATCAATTACATTGATTATTTATTCACTCAAGAGAAGAGTATTGGGGGAGGATAATTACAATGTGCAACTATATCAAAGATAACTTTGATAACTGTAATAAAAGGTTTTGGTGGCTGCAGCAACACAGAGGAAACTGGTAAAGTTACCAAAAAAATAAAAATAAAATGAAAAGGTGAGCACCCTACACCCTACCCTCAGTCCTCCTATACTTACCTTTGGGGATGCTGAGTTGTCAGCGTCCCCGCAGCCGGTCCAGAGATTTGAGATTCCTGCTCTTTTCTCTCTTATCCGTGCAGTGACCAGAGTGATTCACTGTGATGGTGCTGACCAATTAAAATGAATCTGGTCCATCCTGGAAATGCTGCACAGAGAAAAGGGAGAAGAGTGGGTATTTTAAATGTCTGGATTGCTGGACCAGCTGCATGGGCCATGACAGTTCACCATCCCCAAAGGTAAATAGAGCAGGGACCCTGGAGTGGGGAGGGTGTAGGGCAGGGGTCTGCAACCTTTAAGACATAAAGAGCCACTTGGACCCGTTTCCGAGAGGGAAAAAAAGACTGGGAGCCGCAAAACCATTGCAACATTTAAAACAAATCCGACACTGCATATATTGCGAAAAGCGCTCTGGTCATGAAGGGGGTTTAAGGGCCCAGTAAGCAAAGGGTTAACCAGGGCCACAGTGTATCGTCATAATCACAATCATAGCCTTAGGTCAGTGGTGGGCAACCTTTTTTTTCAACTGAGCCAAATCTCGCCAAAACCACGATTGAAATTTATTTTGAGAGAAACATTTTTAAAACTGAAAATACATCCCCCATATAGTAATTCATCCCCCATAGTAATTCATCCCCCATATAGCAATTCATCCCCCCTATAGTAATTCATCCCCCCATAGTAATTCATCCCCCCATAGTAATTCACCCCCCATATAGTAATTCATCCCCCATATAGTAATTCATCCCCCATATAGTAATTCATCCCCCATATAGTAATTCATCCCCCATAGTAATTAATTCATCCCCCATAGTAATTCATCCCCCATAATATCCCCCATATAGTAATTCATCCCCCATATAGTAATACATCCCCCATATAGTAATTCATCCCCCCTATAGTATTTCATCCCCCCTATAGTAATTCATCCCCCCTATAGTAATTCATCCCCCATATAGTAATACATCCCCCATATAGTAATACATCCCCCATATAGTAATTCATCCCCCATATAGTAATTCATCCCCCATAGTAATTCATCCCCCATATAGTAATTCATCCCCCATAGTAATTCATCCCCCCTATAGTAATTCATTCCCCCTGTGTCAATTCACTTACCTTTGCTCCGCGCGTTCCTCTAGCTGTGTTCCCGCGCCGTTCTGGTCTTCAGGGCAGACTGTGAGAGGAGAGGAGTTCGTCACGCTGCCCCGCCTACATCCTGACAGCCAATGTTTGGAGGAGGGAGCGGGCGCCCGCCACATAGAAGAGCTGCATTAAAAGAGCCGCGGCTTGCCGACCCTATTGCCTGTCACCTGGTGGGCAGTGTGCTCCGGAGCCGCAGGAAAGGTGAAAAAGAGCCGCGGGTTGCCGACACCCGGTGTAGGGTGTTAGTTCACCTTTACTTATTACTGTAAAGGTGAACTAACACGTTAAGAGCTGGCTCACACTATAGAAATGCAGTCCAGATGCGTTTCCACATGCGTGTTTTTGATGCGTTCCAGTGCATTCTTGATGAGTTTTTTACATGGTTCAGTGCGTTTTTTATGCAATCCTGTCCATTTTTTCGCCATCTCTTTTTCCTCAATTTAAATAGGGATATGGGCGTTCCAGTACGTTTAACTGCGTTCCAGTACAGTTCTGTGCAGAAAAAAATGCACCATGTACTTTTTTTTTCTGCAACCGAAACGCACTGGAACTGCAAGCACTGATGTGAGCTATAACATTGACAAACATATAACCTATTTTCTTTGGATGCAAAAAAACAAAACAAATGAAAAGCATATAGTGTGAACTGACCCTAAGGCAGTGTTTCTCAACTCTAGTCCTCATGGACCCCCAACAGGTCATGTTTTCAGGATTTCCATTATTTTGCACAGGTGATTTGATCAGTTTCACTGCCTTAGTAATTACCACAGCTGTTTCATCTGAGGGAAATCCTGAAAACATGACCTGTTGGGGGTCCATGAGGACTGGAGTTGAGAAACACTGCCCTAAGGGATAACGAAAGTCAAAACTTTAGAACTCCAGTCATGTGTTTATTGCTGTCTTTAGGGAGATACACCCTCTAGTAATAAAGGGAAAATCTTCTAATGGGTACACTAGTTTGGGGACAACTAGAGATTTCCTCACTTTGGAGGGTTTCCCTCTCCCTTACACTTGGTGTATTAACCTCTATCCAGTCCCTGTATAGTCACAGAGAATCATGTAGAGCTTAGACTGGAACAGGAGGAAACAGCATCAAGAGCCAATTAGTACTTTGTTTTTGTTATTTAAAGAAAGGCAGGGGTATACAAATACTGTACTATGTGTATACATCTTTTATACATATCAGGGTTGGCTTAGTAAAACTGGAGCGTGCATAGCCCTGCACAGCAGTGGTTTTTTAAATTGTGATAGCTATCGAGAAGAAGATCCCCCCGGTAGCTGTCACATCTAGTCTGGTGAGGATTCCTGCAGTTAGCTGCGAGTGGCAGCCCCATTGAAAGGAATAGGAGGCACCTGGCTCTTGCAGCTAATTGTGCCGGCTAATGCTGTCATCACACATGAACGATCGGCCCTGGACGCTGACTGCCTACATGTGAGTGTGCGTGATTAGCTGCAAGATCTGGCAGCCTCCCATTGCTTTCAATGGAGCTGCCTACTTGCAGGTAATTGCAGGAACCCCCCTGAGGTTCTCAAAAATAATTGCAGCCAGCGTGCATTCGCAAGTGTGAATACCCCCCTATTTAGCAGCAGTACTGATAAGTCATGTGTACTGCCCTGCCAGGCCACAAATTGATCCTCTGTCAGGTAAATCAGCTCCCATATGTGTATTTCTTATCTGGTGGTTCCCCTGGAGTTCAGCTTTAGGCAGGCCATACATTATACAATTTTCTTGAGATTTTTGCTTTAGATTTACCAAAAACCAAATAATAGGAGGTCAAACCTAACAACACTTTCAATTGTATTCAAGTAGGCAGACTCTTGTACTACATAGTTGAAGGTAAATCTAAAGGAAATTGGGGAGAAATTGGGACAGAAAATTGTATAGTGTATGGCCAGCCTTAGGGTCAGTTCACACCACATGCGTTTCAGTGTGTTTTCTTTCTGCATCCAAAACACATAGAAAGTAGGTTATATGGTTGTCAATGGCATAGTTCACATCAGTGCTTGCAGTTCCACTGCTTTCCGGTTCCAGAAAACTAGAACATGCTGCATTTTTTCAGAACAGAACTGTACTGAAACATGGTAAAACGCACTAGGAAACAGGAAAAAAGCATCTGACATGCATCCAGAAACACATCAGAAAGCATAAAAAAAGGGCATGCAGAAATGCATCTGAAGGAAAATTTTGTAGTGTGAACTAGCCCTTAAAGGATAGGTTCAGCTTTTAGGGCCAGATCACACTACATGCGTTTCAGCTGTTTTTTTTTCTGCATCCAAAACACACAGAAAGTAGGTTATATGGTTGTCAATGGCATAGTTCACATCAGTGCTTGCAGTTCCAGTGTGTTCCGGGTGCAGAATAAAAAAAAGTAGAACAGGCTGCATATTTCCAGCACAGAACTGCACTGGAACGCAATAAAAGCCATCAAAAACGCACTGGAACACACATGTCCCTATTTAAATTGAAGAAAAAGAGAGGGGAAAAAATGAACCGTAACTCATCAAAAATGCACTGGAATGTGCCAAACACGTGCATGAGGAAACGCATCTGGACAGCATTTCTATAGTGTGAACTGGCCCTTAATAAAAAATAATTAATGCATTTTTTTTAAAATGTGCATATACTATTTATATCTGCAGGAGCCTGTAAAGCATTACACCAGCGATCAGCAGATTGATGGTGCTATCCAGCTCTTCTGCAGATCTGTTACAGATCTGCACAGGAAGATTGAATGAACTACTACAGCGCTCCACAGCTCCGTCTTAGTTCAGTGAGGACTACAAGCCCACAGCGCTAAGGCTGTCAGGACTTGTAGTCTCTCATTCACAAAACACAGTGAATGAGCGATGATAGTGGGCGGGCGAGTTTTTTTTTTTTTTTTTTTTTTTTAAACTTGACAGCTAGCAAGGGGGGTGAAGATCTCCTGCTCGCTGTCAAAGCAGGGAGCAGGGGCTGGTTTGATTGTAACATTTTACACCCTACATATAGGTGAACTTATCCTTTAAAGTGGTTGTGAAGCTCAGACATGAAATATGAACAAAGCATACCCCTCGTACCTTGTACACTCATAACTTCCCGGATACCTCGTACACTCCCTCATCATCTCACTCCTGGACTATTGCAACTCCCTTCTCACTGGCCTACCCAAACAAACGCTCTCCCCACTCCAGTCTATCCTGAACTCAGCGGCTAGACTCATCCACCTCACCAACCGCTTCACATCTGCCAATCCCTTCATTGGCTCCCGATTGCCCAACGCATCAAGTTCAAGCTGCTAACCCTGACCTACAAGGCCATTCACAATGCCGCCCCGAACTACATAACTGACCTGATACCCAGATACTACCCTACCCGTGCCCTCCGCTCCTCACAGGACCTCCTGCTCTCTAGCTCCCTGGTCTCCTCCTCCCACACCCGATTGCAGGACTTCTCCAGGACTTCCCCCATCCTCTGGAACTCCCTACCCCAATCCATCAGACTGTCACCTACCCTCCTCACCTTCAGGCACACCCTGAAAACCCTCCTCTTCAGGGAAGCCTACCCCACCCTCACCTAACACCCGACCTCACCTAACAACTAACCTCCTCCACTCCATCCCCCACAGCCATCTCCTCCTGTACCACCTTCCCCTCCCTCCTAGATTGTAAGCTCGAAAGAGCAGGGCCCTCGAACCCCTCGTGTATTGTATTGTTACGGTCTTGTCTCATGTTCTGTCCCCCTTGCTACTGTACAGCGCTGAGCATACCCTTTGGCGCTATATAAATACTGGATAATAATAATACCCCTCTATAGTGTGTACTTTTCTCAATCCAGAGCACATAGTGTAATTTCTGTCTGCTGCCTTGTTCCCCTACTATCAGCATGAGTCTCTTCTGACAGGTTTTCCTGACATCAAAAGAAAAATGGTGACAGGAGAGGGACCTTCAGCAGATTGACAGCCTCAACTCTGTCCTTGTGTGGAGGGGGTGTGTCCCTTAACTCCAATCAGCTCTCCTCAGTGAGCTCCGCCTCCTTTTTTCTGAACTTTCAGACAAGCTTGATAAATTCTGCACTTTGAATAGCTATAAGGGACAGATGGTTGTAGATAAAGAGGTAAAACCTATGTAGGAGGATTTGTTTAATCTCTGAAGCCAGTTACTTTGCTGGGTATATGGAAGGGGTTAAGGCTTGGCCCACACGTAGCACCTTGTGAATGCTCATCGTTAGGCATGTTTTTCACACCATACATATGCGGTAGCCTTTTCATTTCGATAGGCTGTCCTACACGCTGCAAACCCCCCAAAGAAAATCATGGACCTTTATGGGGCGGGCGTTGTATTTGGTGTCGTGTCTGGAGTGACGTTAGCAGTGATTGGCTGGACAAAGCGCGGCAGCCATTTTTTTCGCACACATTCTCAGAAGGCTGAGGTGTGACTGCAGTGAGGAGAATGGGGCGCCATAGGCCGTATTTATAGCCTCAGGACAGGCCTGGCTGTACCCAGAGGTCACCACATACACAGCACAGCCAGTGCATTGTATGGTTCCCTGCAGAGTCAGCCCTGAGCCGAGTACTGTACCCTGCACACATGCCTGGCCTCATGTCTTACCGCCCCGCACACTTTTCCAGGAAGACACTGCCCCCATCTGGCAAGCATAGGGAGGAGTCTCCAGTCACGAGTCTCCCCCGCCACCTTCACAGAGTTTATTCAACTACAACATGCCCTCACCGGCTCCAGCCTTGCTCTCTTCTCCGCCATGTTGCTCCCACGTGGCTCACCCATTTCCGCTTTCCTAGGACTCCCGTAGCAACCAATGCAAACGGGAAGTCAGGCGCAGAGTCATGTGACCACAGCGAGAAGAGAGCCGCCCCTCATCAGGAGGACCTGACAGCCTTATAGGGAGGTGGGCGGGGCTGAGCCAGTACTGGACGGCTGACAAGGAAAGCTGTCTTGTGATTGGCTGTGTGCACCAGGGGGAGGTTCTGCCAGTCAGATTCTTATCTGTGACGAATGATATAAGGGGGTGCAGTGCAAGGATGGAATGATATTGGAGGGGAGAGGCAGTGGAAGAATGGGATGATATAAGGGAGTGCAGTGTGGGGAAGGAATTATATAAGGGGGTGCAGTAGGATGGGATGGTATAAGGCAGTGGTTCTCAACCTTTCTAACGCCGCGACCCCTTAATACAGTTCCTCATGTTGTGGTGACCCCCAACCATAAAATTATTTTCGTTGCTACTTCATAACTGTAATTTTGCAGTAGGAGGAATAGTGCCCCCCGTCAGTGGGAGGAATAGCGCCCCATCATTGGTGTCAGTGGGAGGAATAGTGCCCCGTCATTGGTGTCAGTGGGAGGAATAGTGCCCCGTCATTGGTGTCAGTGGGAGGAATAGTGCCCCGTCATCGGTGTCAGTGGGAGGAATAGTGCCCCGTCATCGGTGTCAGTGGGAGGAATAGAGCCCCGTCATCGGTGTCAGTGGGAGGAATAGTGCCCCGTCATCGGTGTCAGTGGGAGGAATAGTGTCCCGTCATCGGTGTCAGTGGGAGGAATAGTGCCCCGTCATCGGTGTCAGTGGGAGGAATAGTGCCCCGTCATCGGTGTCAGTGGGAGGAATAGTGCCCCCTTCATCGGTGTCAGTGGGAGGAATAGTGCCCCGTCATCGGTGTCAGTGGGAGGAATAGTGCCCCCCTTCATCGGTGTCAGTGGGAGGAATAGTGCCCCGTCATCGGTGTCAGTGGGAGGAATAGTGCCCCCTTCATCGGTGTCAGTGGGGGAGGAATAGTGCCCCGTCATCGGTGTCAGTGGGAGGAATAGTGCCCCGTCATCGGTGTCAGTGGGAGGAATAGTGCCCCCTTCATTGGTGTCAGTGGGAGGAATAGTGCCCCGTCATTGGTGTCAGTGGGAGGAATAGTGCCCCCTTCATTGGTGTCAGTGGGAGGAATAGTGCCCCGTCATTGGTGTCAGTGGGAGGAATAGTGCCCCGTCATTGGTGTCAGTGGGAGGAATAGTGCCCCGTCATTGGTGTCAGTGGGAGGAATAGTGCCCCGTCATTGGTGTCAGTGGGAGGAATAGTGCCCCGTCATTGGTGTCAGTGGGGGGAGGAATAGTGCCCCGTCATTGGTGTCAGTGGGAGGAATAGTGCCCCATCATCGGTATCAGTGGGAGGAATAGTGCCCCATCATTGGTGTCGGTGGGAGGAATATTGCCCCATCATAGGTGTCAGTGGGAGGAGGAATAGTGTCCCATCATCGGTATCAATGGGGAGGAATAGTGCCCCATCATTGGTATCAGTGGGAGGAATAGTGCCCCATCATTGGTGTCAGTGGGGGGAGGAATAGTGCCCCATCATTGGTGTCAGTGGGGGGAGGAATAGTGCCCCATCATAGGTGTCAGTGGGGGGAATAGTGCCCCATCATTGGTATCAGTGGGGGGAGGAATAGTGCCCCATCATAGGTGTCAGTGGGGGGAGGAATAGTGCCCCATCCTTGGTGTCAGTGGGGGGAGGAATAGTGCCCCATCCTTGGTGTCAGTGGGGAGAGGAATAGTGCCCCATCCTTGGTGTCAGTGGGGGGAGGAATAGTGCCCCATCCTTGGTGTCAGTGGGGGAAGGAATACTGCCCCATCCTTGGTGTCAGTGGGGGGAGGAATACTGCCCCATCCTTGGCGTCAGTGGGGGGAGGAATACTGCCCCATCCTTGGTGTCAGTGGGGGGAGGAATACTCCCCATCCTTGGTGTCAGTGGGGGGAGGAATTGTGCCCCATCCTTGGTGTCAGTGGGGGGAGGAATTGTGCCCCATCCTTGGTGTCAGTGGGGGAGGAATCGTGCCCCATCCTTGGTGTCAGTGGGGAGGAATAGTGCCCCATCGTTGGTGTCATTTGGGGGAGGAATAGTGCCCCATCGTTGGTGTCAGTGGGAGGAATAGTGCCCCATTATTGGTATTAGTGACACCAATGATGGGGCACTATTCCCACTGACACCAATGATACTTACCTTGCAGGACCCCTGCTCCAGCCTGGCTCGCTCGCTCGCTCGCTCCCTCCCTCTCCCATGGTACCGACACTTACCTGTCAGCTGTCTTCCTTCTCCGGCCGCTCTCCTCCTCTTCACTCGCTCGATCTTCGCGGTGCCGCTCGGCTCCTCCTCTCCAAGCTCCACCTCCTTGCCAGTGATTGGCCGCCTGTGTGCCTCTCCTGAGCTACAGTGCCGGCGGCCAATCACAGGCGAGGATTGATCTCGAGGTGTGTCCAGATGACAGGGGCGGCATGTCATCCCGCCCACACCTGGAGACTGGGGCGGTGGCGGCGAGGAGCGGTGTCTCGGTTCCTAAGACCATCGGAAATATGTGTTTTCCGATGGTCTTAGGCGACCCCTGTGGAAGCGTCGTTCGACCCCCAAAGGGGTCGCGACCCCCAGGTTGAGAACCGCTGGTATAAGGGTTCAGTGGAGGGATGGAATGATATAGGGGGGAGGCAATGGAAGGATGGAATGGTATAAGGGGGGGCAGGCAGTGGAAGTATGGGATGATATAAGGGGTGCAGTGGAAGGATGGAATTATATAAGGGGTGGGGGCAGTGGAAGGATGGAATTATATAAGGGGGTGCAGTGAAAGGATGGGATGATATAGGAAGGTGCAGCGGAAGGATGGGATGATATGGGGGAGCAGTGTAATGATAAAAAATTAAATAAGGGGTGCAGTGGAAGAATGGGATGATACAAGGGGGTGCAGTGTAATGCTGCACAATCATGATAAATTAAAGTTGCCCTAGCTTTATGTTAAAGGCATAGTTCACCTATACCAAAAAAAGTGCCTCTGCATGGAAGGGACACCTGTATATAAGAATAAACTGTGAATAATGTCCCTGCTATAAGTATAAGGAGAGCTGGGCCAAGGTCATCACAGAAGGAAGGTGCCCCTATCCCTACAGGAAACCATTGCGCCCAGGGCAGCTGTCCCTACTGCCCACCCCTTGTCCCGGGCCCTGGGTGTTGGCTATTTACGTACCTAATGAAGCCAAACTGGAAAACTCATAGGACATTGTTAAGAGCTGGCTGTTACTGTTCAACCTTCACCAACACAGGAGTGAACTCTTTCTCTGATTTAACCGCTTTCCCAGCACCCTATAGCAGATATACTGTTACAGGGCGACAGGGGTGCACAAAATCATAGTTACATAGTTAGTCTGGCTGAAAAAAGACAAAAGTCCATCCAGTTGAACCATAAAAAAAAAAGTTATAAACCTATACCCACAGTTGATCCAGAAGAAGGGAAAAAAACCCAGCAAAGCATGATCCAAAGGGAAAAAAATTCCTTCCTGATCCCCCGAGAGGCAATCTGATATTCCCTGGATCAAAATATATACGTGATTTTGCATTTCCGGGTAGGGGACACGTGCAAGCCGCGCACGCGCGCCCTACCTGTGCTGCCATTTGCGGCCACGGCTGTCAATCACCGGGTCCTGCCTGGTGATTAACAAGCATCTCCAACAAATAGGAGGACTGTTTTTTTTACGAACAGTTTTCCTCCCTGTCAGCTCGGGCGCACTGCTTTGGATGGTAGTGCACAGCACAGCTATCCAAAGCAGCGTGCTTACAGTTAAGCACACAGACACCGCCCCCTAGTAAAACACTCCCAGCACACAGTTAACCCTTTGATCGCCCCCTCATGTTAACCCCTTCCTGCCCAGTGTTACTAGTACAGTGTCAGTGCTTTTTATTAGCACTGATCACTGTATTGGTGTCACTGGGGATGTCAGTGAAACCAAGTCAGTTCCCCCTAGTGTCAGAATGTCTACCGCAGTCCCGCTATGAGTCACTGATCGCCGCCATTACTAGTAATAAAAAAGGAATTTAAAAAAATCCAGTATCTATACCGCCATTTGTAAACACTTTAACTTTCACATAAACCAATTAATTTACATGTATTGGGATTAATTGTGTGTTGTATATAGTTACATAGTTAGCCTTGCTGAAAAAAGACAAAAGTCCATCCAGTTCAACCATAGAAAAAAAAAAAAAAAAGTTATAATCCTATACCCACAGTTGATCCAGAGGAAGGCAAAAAAAACCCCAGCAAAGCATGATCCAATTTGCTCCTGCTGGGAAAAAATTTCCTTCCTGATCCCCCCGAGAGGCGATCGGATATTCCCTGGATCAACTTTACCTATAAATGTTAGTATCCCATTATATTCTGTGTATCTAAGACAGAATCCAGGTCTTTTATGAAGCAATCCACTGAGCTGGCCAGAACCAACTCTTGAGGGAGTCTATTCCACATTTTCACAGCTCTCACTGTGAAGAAACCTTTCTGTGTTTGGAGATTACATTTCTTGTCCTCCAGATGTAGAGTGCCCCCTTGTCCTCTGTGATGACCTCAGGCTGAATAACTCTACACGAGTTCACTATGAACCACTGATGTATATTTATACATGTTGATCATGTCCCAAATGTAGCAGAATACATTTTTGCCTAACTTTATGATGAAATTTGATTTTTAAATTTTTTTTACTGGACACGTTTAATAGCAAAAATTTAAAAATATTGTTTTTTTTTCTCAAAACTGTCGGACCTTTTTTTTATAGCGCAAAAAAAATAAAAACCGCACAGGCAATCAAATACCACTGAAAGAAAGCTCAATTCGTGGGGAAAAAGGGACATAAATTTCATTTGGGTGCAGTGTTGCATGACCGCGCAATTGGCAGTTAAAATAATGCAGCAACGTAATGCAAAAAAATGGCCTGGTGGGGGGATGGATATCCTCTGGCGGGCAAGTGGCTAAACCTCCTCACATGCAATTTGTCTGCCCTGATGCAGTAGCTTTGAGCTCAGTGTTTGAGAGCTCACTCCTGTGATGGTGGAGGTGACCAGTACCAGCTAGGAGTCTCTTAGTAACATCCTAGGAGTTTTCCAGTCAGGCTTCATGAGGTATGTAATTGTACAAAAATAGAGTAAAGTGCAACAGCGCTAGGTGTCTGATGATTAATCGGATGAATAAATGGATATATAAATAGATGAATAAATTAATTAAATAAGCTGCTAGCATAGAAAGTAAACCTCAAAAAACTTCGGATAGTATGTAATAAAAATATGCAGCGCTCATATGTTAGAAATTAACCTGATCGCATAAATTAAACATAAATTAAGCAAGATTCATGATTAAAAAAAGCATTAGAATATTAAAATATTAAAACTTCTGTTTTGCATCCGAGGTTGAGAAACCAGAGGGAAGTTCGTGACTCTTGTGGTGAAAAAACTGAGAATAGCTTGCACTAACCCAGTGTTTCTCAACTCCAGTCCTCATGGACCCCCAACAGGTCATGTTTTCAGGATTTCCATTATTTTGCACAGGTGATTTGATCAGTTTCACTGCCTTAGTAATTACCACAGCTGTTTCATCTGAGGGAAATCCTGAAAACATGACCTGTTGGGGGTCCATGAGGACTGGAAGTGAGAAACACTGCACTAACCAGATGTCTCAGCACATGGAGCATGGAGTAATTAAGACCTACTCCTGGTACTCTGAAAGGAAGCCACTGAAGAGGATGATGTCATCTTATCTCTCGCCACTAGATGTCATGTTCCCAGGACAGCAGGACGGGGATCCCAGAGATATACATCACCCAATGGAGGGATTAATCCAGCAAATCAGTCAGCAACCCACAGAAAGCCAAGAAGAATCGAGCACCTTCAAAAAGCCCGGGCTCCCTCCATAATAAGAGAGCCACAGGCCAGAAGCTTTGATAGTGTAGTATGTATTTATTAGTGCAGTAATTTCAAATGGTAAAACACACATACAAAATTCAAATTGCAGCTAAGTAGTAAATCCAGACAGTTGGGGGGCACCTCCAGTTGGGGGGCACCTCCAATGCTGACTGATTTGCTGGATTAATCCCTCCATTGGCTGACCACAGAAGTCTCAAGTTTAATATTTTAATATTCTAATGCTTTATTGTAATCATGAATCTTGCTTAATTTATGTTTAATTTATGCGATCAGGTTAATTTCTAACATATGAGCGCTGCATATTTTTATTACATGTAATTGTACACCTATAGCAAGGACAAGATTCAACTTTGCTTTGTTTTTATCTACCAATGTCTCTTTTCTGCATAGGCAGTTTTTGGTAAAGGTAACCGAATCCATTAAGTGCATACATGCTATGTAATGTGTCAGTGTACCACCGCCAGGTATTAATTACTCCTCACAGAGACCCAGTAGGCTCCACCCACTACAGGAGGGGGGCGTAGACAAGACCAGTCACCCTGCACAAGGAGAGAGAGCAGCAGTGACCGGTCTTTATTAACACAGATCTGGCAGCAACGCACAAAGCACACCAAGATCCAATAACACACGATTCTTGTATTTAGATGGTATTTGCAGATCCTGGAGTTCAGCTTTAACACTCCAGTCACACTGATCCGACTATGAAATCGTATGCCTTCTAGTGAAGTCACACGATTTCAAAGTCGGATGTCATTCCAACTTCAAGCATGACTTGCCAGACACAGATGTCTAAGCAAGTGTATAATCCAAACGCATTAAAAATGGCTGTGTGTATAAGTGGGTGCTGCAGCGACCGTCTGCTGGAACCGAACAGAATCAGCAAGCGAGAATGTCACCAGCACACCAAGGATCACCAGGATGGGTCCAAAAGGTTTAATAAACGATCACATAGTTACAGCAAGGC